TTGGGCGCGCATGGAGTTCCGCATTGCCTACCAGGCGACGCTGCAGGATAAACGCAAACGCATCATAATTATCCTGTACAAGGAGCTGGAACACTTCGAAGGCATCGATAGCGAGCTGCGTGCCTATCTCAAGCTCAACACCTATCTCAAGTGGGGCGATCCATTGTTCTGGAGTAAGCTGCGATATGCCATGCCCCACAATCGACGCGTGCTCAAGGGGCAGAAGAAGCACGTGGGTCCACTCATCTGATATGTTCCCAAAATATATCAACCTTTGATTAATTAAACACATAACTTTAGTTCTAGTTATTTTTCATAAGCTTATGCTATAAATTTAGGTAATCTTATCTTAACTCATTCTAAGATAATTTAAGATACTCGATAGGGAAGACTTATTTATAGCATAGCTTATATTTCTTTAATTAAATTTAAAGAAAATACTTCTTAATATTCTTTAGCGGGCATTCGCTTTAACATTGTTAAATTTTTTAAGCAATTTTGAAGGTCCTCGAAGTACTTTAAGCCGATTATTAGTAATTCGGCATAGTCATAAATATTTTGTGTAAGTTTATCTAATAAAATTATGTTATCTAAGATACTTCCTTGCAGTTTTCTAAAATAAAAAGTTACAATGTAGTATAAAACTGGACTCTGACATACTGAACCAGTATACTAAAAACAAGTAGGAGGTTCTAGTCGGGAGCTCCCGACTATGGGATACCCTGAACCCTCTTCTTCCAGCATCAAATGCGTATAGAAATTCTATTTTAGAAGCTATGTGTCAAGTTTGGTGACTCTAGCTCTTATTATTTACCAAAACTGCCCAAAAGAACAGGATATCAATATCGGTTCTTATCGATTGCTTGGAAACGGAGTAAGTTATCGATTATCTGAAATAAACTCTCTGCGCGGGCACTACGAGCACCTACCTCTAAAATTTTAAGTCTCTAGCTCTTAGAGGTTCTGAGATTCATGCGTTCATACATACGGACGGACGGATGGACGGACAGACAGACAGACGGACATGGCTAGATCGACTCGGGTGTTGATGCTGATCAAGAATATATGTACTTTATGGGGTCGCAGATGTTTCCTTCTGCCTGTTACATACATTTGGACTTTGCACAAATACAAAATACCCTTATACACATTATTAATGGGTTCAGGGTATAAAAATAGTTGATTGTTTGCATATTCTTTTATTGTCATATCTAAAACTGGAAAATCGTGAAAAAAATTGAATATCTCTAAATTATTTCAAATATTTTCAATATAAATAAACATAGAACCGAATTCTTAATCTTGTTGTATATATGCATTTATTTATGGGTAGACTAATTCAGCATTAAGGCTGATTGTTTTGTTTGTCTTCTGCTCCTATTGTCTGCCTTTGAAATTGTTTTTGTTGTTCCGCCTTAACATTTTTAATTAAATTCTTATACACATCATATTTGGTAGTCATAAAGTGTGTTGGCCACTTTCTACACACATAAAAAACAGTTGTGAAGATTAGGACACATATTTTATATTTAATTTGGGAGAGCTGACAGCAAGCCAGAAAATTGGCTTACATGCCATAAATTAGGAAATTTGAAAAAAAAAATTATTTTTTATTATTCTCGTTTAGCTTTGTGCTGGCATAGGGAAAATATTTTACCATATTTAAAATTTTAATTCTCTAATGCTTAAATACTTACAATAATACTGGTGCAGTATTTATTTAAATTGTTTTACAGGAATAACAAGTCTTCCAATTGAACATACGAGTCTTATAGAAATTAGCCAAGCCATGAGTAACAAACAGTGTTATAAATATGTTTACTGTTATACCAATTGCTGTTATACTGTTATATTTTTAGTATATTTAGAAGTTTTAAAATTGCCAATTTATATTAATTGCTTCATTTAACTATTTAATTATAGCTTGAACAAGCAATAAGCTCTAAGCTGTTATACTTCTCAACATGTTATACTGTTATATTGTTATATGTAAGATTATTATTTGTAATTGGCCATTTAATACTGTCATCGAACTCAACATCTCTTTAATCTCTAACTGCGTTCCGTTCAATAAACTAACTTAAATATTTATTCAGTCACATGCTCCAAAACGGGCCTAGACCCAAGGTCAGACCCTAATTATCCACTTCAATAATGTTGGTGGCCTTCAAAGCGTCGAGTACAGAGAATAGGAAAATAGCGGGAAACGGCTACCACCCGCCCAGCGCAAGTGGCAGCCAACTTTTACGCAGCTAGTGAATATAGAAAAAATGTAATTTTGCCAAGTCTCGCTTTTATGCTGTCAGCCCTTTTGGCTACAATTGCTTGGCCTTTTGGGCATCAACTTTCATTGAAAGTGTGTGTGTGTGTGAGAGTTCAAGTGGGTCTGGAAGATTCATTGGCCGCCCATCGGCCAATGTTTCGGGGGCGTTTAAAGTGTCATAAAGCAAATGCCATTTAGCGTAGGCAAATATTTTAAGTTCAGAGCTTACATTTTGAACACTAAAATACAAAATGCATCTGATATGCATTATTATACTCCGAACCCATTCAAAATGGGTAAGAAGAATATTATGTATTTTAATACCCTGAACCTATTGAAAATAGTATACATAAAGTATATTCTTGATCAGCATCAATAGCCGAGTCGATCTAGCCATGTCCGTCCGTCCGTCAGTATGTATGAACGCAAGGATCTCAAAACCTATAAGAGCTAGAGATTTTAAATTTTAGATGTAGGTGCTCCTAGTGCCTGCGCAAATCGAGTTTGTTTCCGATAATCGATAACTTACTCCGTTTCCAAGCAATTTGAGCAAATTGGGTAAATAATAAGAGCTAGAGTCTTCTAGAATAATATATATGTCAAGTATCTATTATTTTATACCTATCGCTACCTGCTACCACCCTAGAGCTACATTTCAAGTTAATAACCCAACTTGTATTGCCAACTAATTTAAGCTACTATTTAAATGCAATTGACTTTTTGAGAAAACATCAATGCAACAACTGCATTTGGTGTTGGAATAAGATGGTTCGGGGCATTCCTCTTACTTGTTGCAAATGTATTTATTTCTCGATCTAGCCATGACCGCCCTATCTCAGAACCTGTAAGAGCTAGAGACTTGCAAATCTCGTAAGCTATCACCAAATTTTACATATAGCTTCTTGAATAGCATATATATCAAATATTTTTTACTTTGTGGCTATCGCCAACATAATACCCTTTTTACCCATTTTCAATGAGTTCAGGGTATATTTATCAATATGAATATTTAATTAATTTAATTCAAGCTACAAAAGATGATTATCTCCATTTTATACAAATTTCAAAATTTGCTTGTATTTTATTAAAGCTGAAACATTTTTTCTTTTGCTTAAGCTAGAGCCCAGCGACTCGGGAGAGACTAATGGAAATTGATTGCTGAACTCACACCAAGCAGCTGCCGCGTTCAATAATTTCAGCTCATTTTTCATATATATATATATTTATATATATATGCTAGCCGTCCATCCGGCGTAGTTATCAGAAACATCTGTTTGCAGCTGCTCTTCATTTATCATAGCTTTCGAAGCGGCAACTATAAAAATCAGTTTGTAACTGCTGCAGCTTTTGGCCCTTTCAACCCACTCAACCTTTATTCGTGGACGGTCGTACGTGGCCTGCCCGGGCATATACTATTTGCAACACTGTATCCGTTGCCACAAAACAGTTGCCAATAAACTGCCAAACCTCAAGTATGCAGCATACAACTTAGATACATAACACACAAGGGGTTTAACTCGAACATTATAAGTTTGTCTGCGTCTGTGTGAGTGTGTGTGTGTGTGTGTGTGTGTGTGTGTGTGTGTGTGTGTGTGTGTGTGTGTGTGTGTGTGTGTGTGTTGGGTGTGCGGGTGGCTGCTGTCAGAACTCTCTCTTTTTATTTGTTACACATAGAAAGGCATAGACAGCGTGTCATTTGAGACATTTAACTAGCTAGACACAAATTATAATAAACGAGTATTATATGCGCGTGTATGAGTACATATACTCGATAACATTCAACATTATTTGCTGACAATTGCAAATGCATGTCAGCTGCAGTTGCATTTGATTCGATTGTGGATCTCAAACAAAGCCAAGGGACCAAAATGCCATGGGCTTGGCTTTGGTTTCATGTTGGAACCATTTAAGAAATCTCTTAACTAATTTATATTTAGTTGACTTTAAGAATTTAAAAATCGAATTAGGTTGCTTTTCATTTACGTTTTAAAATATTTACTTTTAATTTAACATTTAAATTCTAAATAATTGGAGCTAGTTTCCATTAAGGTCAAATAATTTTGCGTGTAGAAATATTCCAATAGTTTGGCTAATTGATCTTTTAATGGGAAATTTGGGCTATATGCTATATACCCTGCAGAGTAGCTGAAGTGGGTATCATAAAGCTTTTGCACTGCTATTGCTTCTTCTTGTCAAAGTTATTTAAGGTTATTATTCGATTCTATAGAGACATATATTGTCTTGATATGTGCATCTGAGCACATCAATTGGGAACCACATCCAATTTATTTGTAGTTTCATTACACAAGTTTCTTACACTTGAATTATATATATATTTTTTTAATTTAATATATATTTATTTGACTTACATAGTATCTTGTAACAAATCTTGGGCAATGTTATATTTTGTAATTTGCCTTAATTTGCAGCCAATTGCTGTCTGATGTCTGACCAAGTTTACAGCTTTGCTTTAATTAAATAATTTGGTTAGTTGCCCACCTGTGCTCGGCCTTTAACCTTTAGAATTTGCTTTATTTTAATAGAATTAAGTTTTTTGAGCTCTGAACAGTTCAACTGATAACAGAGGAAGTCTGATGACACTGTCAGCAAAATATATTTGATAACAAAATTTAAAATTGAAATTTAACGCTGAAGCTTAGCGTTAAATTAAATCAGAAGTTGTTTGGCAGAACCCAGAGCTAAACCCAATTTTATTTAAAAAATGAAATTATTTTATAATATGTTTAATTCAATATTATTTATATGCGTGCTTGTATCGAGTGAACAACCAGCAGATTTTGGCAAGAAACAACAGACCGTAAGCGCAAACATTTAAAAGGTTTTAATTACGTAAAAATTGAATCAAATTTTAAAGTTTTGTGCGAACAGTCAGCTAAAAGATGAACAGTGCGGTGGGTATTGCTATAAAATAGTAAAACATCTGCTGCAATATGTTGCTTCCGTGCAAACGAAGGAACAACAGTATGTCGAATTACTGGAAAAAGTCCATGTCCTTGATATAAGCGTTAACTATATGGAAGAAACAATTAGAGATAAGCAAATGCAATTGGAAATGCAAATTGAACTGAATAATATCCATAAAAAGAATGCCGCAATCACAAAGGTGTTGCTAAATGAAAAAAATAGACAACTATTGGAGCTACAGGATCAGATCGAACGCTATAAGCAGGAAAAGAATTTAGAATCTCTGGATAAGTCCTTAAATGGTCAGGCAGTACAATCCGAAGTTCTCTTTAAAAATAAAAATTCCCTTAACTTGATTAGTACAGAAAAATGTCTACATTCAAAGGATAATTCACTTGACGACAAACGGGAAAAGGTTGTCAAAAACCTGGAAACTATATCAACACTTCATTCTATGGATAAATATCTGTCCAGCAATTGTCTAGATAAATCGAATGATATATATTTGTTAAAAGTACCTGGCTTGGAGCCTTTTCCAGTGCTCTGTGATTCGACTCTGGCTGGTTCCGGTTGGACTGTGGTGCAACGTCGTAAAGATGGCACTGAAAACTTTAATCGTAACTGGCAAGATTATCGCGCTGGGTTTGGAGATTTGCGTGGCGAATTCTTTATGGGCTTGGAGATATTGCATCGGATGACCAAAGCGCAGTCACACGAATTGTTTATACATCTCGAGGATTTTCATAATGAAACACGATATGCACATTACAATAACTTTGTCATAGGCAGCGAGCATGAATCGTATAAGATAGAGAGTCTTGGCGAATATTCGGGAAATGCGGATGATGCATTGTTGCAGCACAAAAATTGTAAATTCTCCACACCCGATCGACCCGTTGCTGGAAAATCGAATTGTGCTGTACTTTATCAATCTGGCTGGTGGTTCAATGGTGGTTGTTATCTCTGGTAAACTATTCACAGTTGCTTTTAATTAAAAAAAAGTTCTTAATGTTGTGCATTTTAGTAATCTCAATGGCCAATATATTACACAGAATATTGAGAATCCAAATGCCATCGAGTGGAGAACTTGGCATTTTAGACCTCTTAAGTTTGTTCAAATGATGATCAGACCGACTAAATAATTGACACAATCTGGATATGTGATCTACATACATATTGTAGCTAAAATAAAATTAAAAGGATAGTAAGCGGTTTATGCACATTAAATTTAAACATGGCCTGGTCTTGAAACTTCGCAATAAAAAGTCATGACTCATAACTCGGAACTCCGTGGCTTAGTATCCGAATAAGCTTTCAGGATTGGCTATTAAATTTACAAATAAACGTTGAAAGTCAATCGACAATGTTTAGTCCGAGTTCAAGTTACTTATTTTACCCATTGGTAGTAAGTATTTATAGCGCAACTGATATAAAAACTAAACTAAGCTGCTGCTCTTCGTGTCCTTCCTTGTAACAGTCCCTACATTAAAGTCACGGCAATTTATCCTTTGCATTGATTGCCTGTCCTTCAAAACTTGGCAATTACCGTATTCTATTGCAGTCGGGTCACAGGCGTAAGGTGAATCCAAATTTCAATAAGGCTCTGTGATAGGCTTAAAGTCCCCGTCAGCTGTTATGTGGAAAATGTTCACGCATTTGTCTTTACCTGCAGAAAATGTAGCAGTTACTTTTCGGGGGCAAAAATCAATCGTCTTACACATACACGCATGCATACAACTCCTCTGATCGCCCGCCGCCACACGCCCTGAGGCACCTTAATCAAAAACTCATTTTGGGTGGCCAAGGTCCTGGTCAGACACTTTGCCAGGCACCTCGCTCCTGGCTGCAAGCCCAAGTGATTAGTTGTGCGTTAACCCCGCTGCAGTTCAGTTCATTTCGGTCCGGTTCGGTTCTGCTGGGGCGGATACGGTTTTTGGTTTTTAGTTTCCGGTTTCGATGTGTTGGATGCGCCTGAAAATTGCATTAAATTATTCATTTTTGGGCCAGTGCAGTCCGTGTGCCTTGCTGAATACTCTGTTTCCAGCAATGCAATAGAGCATTTTTGTTTTGTACAATTTCATTCTGTCGGTCTGTTTTGCACAAAGTCTTTCAGTAAGCCCAGCGTCTTGGTAACACCAGTTGGATTTTCATCCCACTATGATAGGGCTGTAAAGCCTACATCAGCTGGGGATCAAATATACAAAATCGTGATAGTTTAAGGCGAATGTTATAGAATTTGATTTTTGGCGATATTTATTTATTTGTGCTCATTTTAAAGCTAGCAAAAAATGGTATATCTATCATTTTCATTATACATATCAAGTTGTATGTCCTTTGCAGCATCAACATATTTAATTGTCTTATTGTTTTCTTAAAATTGGGATTATACCTAAAAGACTGAGAACAGGGTGTCGTGATATCGGTAACTGTAGACAACTGCTTCGTTCGAACTTCCTTTTCGCGGATAAATTTGCAACGTGAATTTATGTGTGTAACTGTCGTTGGCATGCGATGGTAGTGCTGGTGCTGCTGTTGCCGGTGGTTGGTTGTGGTTGGTGGCAACAGCACTCAGCCAATTAATAGCGCTACTGTCTGGCATTTATCTTCGGCGGCAGTGGCCGAAATTCGTGGCACTTCAGCACGAAAGTTAGCAGCGAAACGACACAAAATTGATTGACACCTTAATCAAAACGCGATTTATTAAAGACATCCCAAATTATATACTAGCTCATCCATTGTTAAGGGCTAATCAACCTGCCACCACCCATCTGTAATGAGCCACAAATAAAAAATATTTGTGTCCGCAGTGTGAAAGCGAATTAGTCGGCATCAGTTGCCAACCAAAGTCAGTTAGCATTTCGATTGGGTCGATTGAGTTCAAATTGGAGGAGTCATTCACAAAGGACATTAACAAGAAGAGGACCAAGGAAACCATAACCATGCTTGACAGGATGTTAAAGTTGAATGCCCGTGATCTGTTGGTATGTGCATTTTTTAATATATCACACATCATGCAAGCCTAAACCTCATAACGAATAGCTTTAATTTCAATTTTGTTGGACTTATTATGAAGTATATTAAAAACTCGTAATACAGTAAAGAGCGTTACTTAAAAATAATAAATTATATTATATACTTAATGTCTTGCTAACACGTTTTGTTGGCTTAGAAATGTGACTGTAGGCCGGAACGCATGGTCACAAAGTTGAATATAAAAAGTGAATATAAATAAAATACAACTTCATACAATCAATTAGTTGGCCAGCCATCTATCCGTCAATTAGAGCCAGTATTTATATAAGTTAGGTTCCAGCTTCTAATCTTAGTCTAGTATGTCTGTGGCTGTGTTAACCTTTTGGGTTAATAAGTGCTTTGTAGACATAATTTATCCAATTAAAAAATATATACAAATTGTTCAAACGCATAAAATAAAAAAAAGAAGAACATTTTAGTATAGCAATTATTATAGCAGCAATTTTTTAATATAGAATACAAGATTTTTCTAAGAGTTGTTTTAGAAACATTCTTCAATGCGGTCGATAAACTTGATTTGAACTAGCCGGACATTAAAAGGTTCTCAAATAAGTGATAGTCAATTAGATTTTCTTTTTATTGTTTTTCATTATTTTAAAATTATGTTATCTTTGGCCGTGCGATTGATATACATATTATCTATGTAAACTGAGAATACCAATAAGTAGCTAAAATCTTTGACACAACTCTTATCTAAACTATTGAGCACAAGTAAAAAACATTAACTTAACATTTTGCTGGGGAATAAAACAAAAATATATGAAAATTCGTGAATCTTAAAACTAAGAAATTTGAGATGAATTCTTATTTAATTTTCGGCTTGGCGCGACCGCGTCCCAGTTTCTTAACGCGCAGCTTGGACATGTGGGACATGACCAGATAGCTGCCAGGCAAAGCGAGTAGCAGCAGATAGACTTTTACAAATAGGACCATGTCGAAGGTTGAATTCCATTTGTTGGGCATGTCAACGCAAAAGCGTTTCGTTTCCTCAATATAGGGTATGCTGCGCAACAGAATAACGCCCTCACACACGATGCCCATGGGATAGAGAGGAATCCAAATGGTATAGCGCAGCCAGGTGAGCAAGCCGTTCTCCCGCTTAAGCAGCTGGCTGACATAGTAGGGATAGCTAGGAGGAGAATAATAGCTGTTATGCTATTCGATTTTGAATTGAAATGTATCACTAACCGCACCAGCTCCACGAGGGACCATATTATAAATACATAAAAGACCACCGGCTTGGCATGCATGCGCGGCTCCATTTCGATCATAAGAAACAGAACGAAATTGCGTCCAGAGATTTGAAAGAAGGGCACCAGCGGACTGCCTTTGGTATACCCGAAAAGTGGATGCATTACCTCCATATATTGCATGAGCTGCACAAATTTAAACGATGTGCCCACATACTCATACGTATGCTTAATGCTGTCTGGTCCGTCCCGTATATAGAGCACACCCATGATAATGAGTATGTGCAGATAGCCAACAAACATGGCCAGGTTATAGATGATCAAGTAAACCTTCTTGGCATTCTCTGTGAAAGGGGTATAAGTTGTTAAGCTGAGAAAACGGTTGGGAGCAGTCCTTCTTACCCCGCACATAGCCAATTTCCTGCTTCTGCAGGTTGTTATACTCCTCCACATAATCCTCGCGCACGTCGCGCGCCGGTTCATTTAGCTCTGCATCATCCTCGGTGCGCCAACGGTCAAAGTCAACGCGCAGCCAGTGCGGCTTTTGAGGCGTCGCCACCAGTCGCACCCACCAGGCAGGCTCTGCTTTATGTATGAGCAGCTCGATCTTATGATCGGTAACCGTAAATGTGGCCGTCTCATCATCGATGGGCTGAAAGAAACGCATCTGAAACTTGTACGCATTCCGGCCGCGTGCTCCATGGCCATTGGCGCCAAACGACATCGTTGTGGGTGTAAACTCTGCAATGACTCCCTAAAAAAATATAATGCCCGTTACCCATCACCAATTATTGATTTTTCGAAGTGTGCAACGACTCACCTGCGCATCTTTCAGATCCACCTTTAGCAACAACGTGTCCTTTGTTTGGGACCAATAAACGAATGGACTCAATTCAGTTGCTGCCATTGGATTGGCATTGGACATGGGCGACATAATTTTTGTGTTTGGTTTTTGTCACAGACTTTGACCAGCTAATTGAATGTGCCGGGTACGCACTTCATGCTTTTGCTTGTAGTTAATAAAACCAATTTTATACTCGTTTCCACTAGTTCTCTCTTTTCCTCTCTCTGTATTTACATATTGTTATATTATATTCTTTTAATAAAAACTACCAAGCAACGCACCAAATTATTTATATATTTTGTTAGTTTCGTACACACGCAGGAGCTCTTCGCAACCAAATTAGCAGCCCTAACGATAGTTCTTATCGATTGTTCCTATCTATGGCATCAGTCCAGCCATGTGTGCGAACTGCGCAGCCGCTCTTTAGCTAAATGCTACGACGCACAGTTGTGTAGCACTTAGCTTGTAATTGGCGCCGGGATTTAAAACTTTATGAAATATTTCTATTTTTTATAAGAAAAATTAAATTAAAAAAAAAATATAAATATTTTTTATTTTGATTATCTATTACACTACAGTTTTTAAAATGTACGGCCAAAAAAACATAAATTCACATTTACTTGTGTAGCATAATTAAATAACAACAACAATCAACATTTGAAATATTTATAGATATTGACTCCCATTCGCTATGTATGTACATATGTGAGTGCGTATGTCGCTTTGAGGCATTTTGATTTATGAGCTGCTGCCTGCAGACAATTATGGGATTGTGAGGCATGCGGCTGCAGGGAGTGCTGTGGTTTTTGTGTTTTAAATAATCTTTTGTCCTTTACGTTCTTTCATCTTGGCTTAAACAAGCAGCGACAAGTTGTCGTCAGCACTGTTTTCAACTAAACAATGGAGCATACGTGTTATCAGGCTTAAAGTTAAAAACTGTATTTGGCTTGTGCTAATCTCTTACCGTCTCTCTCCCTTTTTTCTATGCGATTTTTTTTCAGCTATCACAACGCACAAATTCACATATAATTTATGCACGTACAACAAAAAAGAAACAAAAAAAAAACCAACAAAATGTTGCGTTTTCTCAAGAACCGTTAGATATGGCCCAGATTTCACCGCCCGACCAATCTATATATCTAACAGCCTACACATATGTGTATGTGTGTGTGTGCTCACTGTAGTGACGTAATGTTTTTGGGGTAGATAGCTCAGCGTTAAACATGTCCTAAGGTGAGTACTAAACATTTTAAATATATAATCTTGATACTCAAAATCGTTACAACTGCAAAGTTCTCAATGGAGTACCCAGGCCAATAGTACATTTTGTTTTTACTAGATTATAGATATATTTATTTCTTTTCTTTATTAAAGTAGTTTTTTAATTACCCTCTTATCGATATTCATGCGTGTTTCCGTTTTCACTTATTTTGTGCGTTTGGTCTCACTAGATTTTAAGTATTTTCCCTTTGTTGAATTTGTTTTTTTTTTTTTTGTTTCTGTAAATCGAGATATCGCACATTTATTTCGATTTCGGTAATATTAAAATTAATTAATTAAAGGTTTAGTGTATAAAATTCTAGTGTTCGGTAGTTTATAAATTTACTTTATGCAGTTACTAAATTTTTCATTGAATCATGAACGACACGTATAACAAGGAAATGCAAGGTATCGCTTACGAATAACTAAGTCTATGAATGACTAAATTGATTAAGTTAAAGATTCAAAAACAAACTTGCCAACTCCAATAACAAATGTTAATGGCATGACAGATACAGCTAGCTGAGTAAAAGTAAAACAAAATGAGCACTCGTCTATTTCCGGTTCGTGTTTCGTATAAATATGTTTTGGTTGTTGTTGTTGCCAACTGGTTAAGGTCAGGTAAACAAGTTGGTTAGCAAGAAGGTTAGGGAAGACAAGTTAGAAACTGACTTTGTTGTTGTGTGTACGCACACATACCGTACTTTTATACACATGTGTGATGCGTGTTCACATGACTCAAATTATGATTACCAAAATAAGAGATACACTAACCGAGGTACCTATACAAAAGCTGTTCACCCAGATGGTTCGATTTTTGTAGGGCTGTAAGACAACAGAAAATAGTGTTGCTTAGAGCACAAAATTTCATGTGTATGGTTAAACGAGGTTTTTGGTTGCGACAGATTTGACAAGTTTCAATTATCGATAGCTCATCTGAAATCGATAGATATCGATCAAGAGCATAAATTGTATTAAAAAAAACCTATCATAAATAATATATTCAACCTAAGAACACTACATATGAATATCGAACATTTCAAAAGAAAACGCAGTTAAATGTTAGCGTAAAATTTTTAAGTAATTATTTTCATTTTCAACTGTTCGGTTACGCTTTTTTCGAATTTTAACCCAATCGATATTTATCGTGATCATCATTTTAAAATATTGACTACAAATAAAACATAAACTTATTTATAGTATTTTAAATCTAATCTAAATCTAAAATACTACTTTTTGCCTGCGATGACAATCGTAAAACTATCAACGGACCTCATGTACTCTTGCGCAATTAATAGAACTTTTATCGTATTCCTTGTCGCGTACTGAAAGTTTTTCATTAAGTTTTCTTAAAAATATATTATTAAGAGTTCCGGAAAATTCACCCAATGATTTTTTATCTTAGTCTTTTTGATTTCGTGAATTCGCGCTTTCGCGATATAGTTAATGTCCAACAAAGTAATCGCTTCACAGATTGCAAAAAAATAGCTTTCCAGATTTATGCATTCATGATGTTCATCAGTTATTTGATGCATGTTGTTGTGGAAAGGGCTGAAAGTTCGATACACAAGCATGTAAAATTTGATTAAATGTCTATATAAGGACTATTTTTGTTCTTTATCTGATCGGCTTTGAACCGGCTTTAAAGATCTAAGTGATAATTTAGTTGAGTCGTGTTTAACACTCATTCGGAAATTCAGTATCCTTGGTGAAATATAAAGGAATTAATAAATAAGAGTTTAAATGTTTATGCAAAATCCCCCTCTATAACTTATTCCTACGATAAACTTACTCCCAAAGATTTATTTAAAGTGTTGCGGATAATCAAAATCAAATAAATGTGTGTGTATACATACATATTATTCAGTTCGCAAGCACGTTAAAATGTCTATGTCATTATATGCAAGTATTTTATATTTAATAAGGCACCTTCAAGTCGCATCTTTGCTGTAAATGTGTTCTACATTGCTCTAGCTTCTGTCATTTTTGTGTTTCATAATTTTATTTTAACAGCGGATGTTATATTTGTTTTGTTTTACGTTTATGTGCGGGTGTTTTTCTTGCCCTCTATTCGTTGAAATTTGCCCAAAAAGGGTATATTGGTTCCTGGTTCTTGAAGCTGAAAAATAAACTCTAGTTTGACTCGTATTTGCCATCTAAGAACGTATTAAATAAATTTATAAATATCTTTAAAAACGATTTTAAAGCCAATCAAATGGCAAAGTAAAACTTGCATACAATCGTTTTTCCTAATTTACCACTGTTGTAGGTGGAAAATAAGTTTGATGCAAATCGGACAAAACTTATTACTTGGCACACAAAATCTTTGAATCGCATTTCTACCGAGGAAGCTTGGACTCTGCGAAAAGCGTAAAGTACCTATCAAATGATTTTTCACATTGATTCACCCACCAAATTGATTGACCAAATCTTTGACGCCTAATTTCCACTAAGGAGACGAAACACCCTTCAAATGAATTTGAGCAAAAATTTGTGAAAATGAGTTTGAAGGCGATCAGAAGGTAAACGAAAAAGTTTCCTCCACACACGCGGCTGAAATTTTCCGAAACCTTGTAGTAACGTGCACCTTCATTACGTAAGGTAATTACAGAGAAAATTTCAGCTTCCGCGCTCCTACGTCCGTGTCTATATAAAGAGCTATCTAATCATATATCAAAATTTCCTAACAATCAGATAATTCACAATAAAACTTATTAAGGAATACATTTTTTATTGCTTTGGCTTGCAACTTGTTTGTTCTAGGTACAGGGAATCTGTTAGTCGGCACTTTTGACAAGCATTTTTATTTGTTTTTCGTTGTTGTGCTTTTTTATGAAATGCGAACGTTTTGGTAAAACTAATACATACACAATGTCGCCGACATATAAGCACATACACACACTCAGAAAGAGAGAGAGACACACACACACACACAGACACAGAGGCACAGACACAGCTGGCAGACAGTCGCGTCGGACATTAATATTAACGTTAAAACAACAACAACAACAGGCTTATCAAACATGTAGCGCGTAGTTCGCATACAAACACAAATAAATACATACACAACATACACAGCGCAGAAGAGCGTGAGAGATAGTGAGCGCGTGTGCATGTGTGTGGTAGAGCGAATTGGCATCTACATGGACATTTTGCTTTTTGGACTGGCTTTTCCGGTGCGTTTCGCTGTCGCCTGTTTAATTTTCCGCCGCGACGCTTTTCAGTTGGCGGCGAGAGTTTTCTGCGATCACAACAGCGGCCAATCACGCGGTCGGTTATTGGTTTGCTTAAATTTCCTTTTCGATTGGCGTGTGACTGTGTCTGTTTTGTCTGGCAAGCATGGCTTTGGTGGCGCATCGCATGATGCTGCCGGCGCGCCATCGACGCACGCATCAGCAGGTGGCGCGCAATAAGGTGGGCGTGCTGCTGGTGCCTAGCCTGGCGGACTACTACAACAGAGAAACGGATCAGCCGCAGCTGCAGCAACTGGCCACGTCCATGCCTCAGCTGGAGCTGCAGGTCGGCGACGGCACCAATGCAAAAGTAAGTTCAACAAGTTGCAGTCACAATTGCAATCGCATAGACGTGACAAAAAGAAAATGAAACATTTGCCAACAATTGCTGCATTTGAACAAATTCAGTTCTGGCTACACAACTTATTTCCAAACAGCCCCGAAAGAAATTCCTTTACCCACTCATGCGCCTGTTTATCTAGTTTTCCTTTTCATTATTCGCATTTCTTTTGCGTTTCCCTTATTTTTTTTTTTGACTGGCGCCAACTTTATGCGGCTTATTGTACACAGACTTGAATTGTTGTTGTTTTTACCATATTTCGTTTTCCTACTGTTTTTCTTACTTTTTCATTTTTTCTGTTGCTGCTGGTCAGGATTTTCTTTTGCGTATGGTAGTTTTCCCTATTAGAGTCTGAAAAATAACCGATAAGCTTTCTAAAGCTAAAAAAAATAAGTGTTATTGTTTAACTGGAAAGTAATGTACAGATAATATTATTCAAACAATAATATGAAACTTTATTATTTTTAATATACTTTAATGTATATTTATATCCATACAGTTCGTTGAATATGTATATATATATATGTATATATATCTCACTATATATATATATATACATTTTATTGTTGCAAATATTAAATATTTGTTCGTATATTTGATTAAGGCTCTTAAATAGAATTTCATTGATTTTTCTACCAATCCTGTTTGTTCAATTGATGTTGCTCAAATATATATTGTCAAAGTGTTTGATTGACCAATTGAATAATTGATTTGTGTTATTCGTGATTTGCTCGCGATAAACCTTAAGGCAATTTAATATCGTTTGATTATAGCAGCGTTTTGGTTTTATTACACTTGCCACAGTAAATACCAACGTTCGTTATTATTTTGGTCTCCGTCACGCCTAAACTGAATTTTTAATGATAGTGTATAGCAATGAAAACAAACCATCATTTATTTAGTAGTGTAAATTAGTGAGGAAATAAACGCCAGCCCACCTGGTTGACTGACTGATACGATGTTTACCAATCAATAAGAACTTTAGCCTTGATTAGCTCAATATACTTATATCAATCTTGCTTCTTTATTTAATTCACTCGCATTTAAGCAGAAATCATATTTGCCAGGTTTTTGATGGTTCCGGCAAATAAATACACTTATAACGTCTTCAAAAAACGTTCAAGTTTATTTACTTATTTCCAGTAAGATATCTAAAATCAAACCTCCAAAAAGCCATAAGGCGTGATCTTGCACCTTTTCCTGAAAGAATTTATCAATATCTAAACATATTTAAATATTATATTAACACGTTAAAGCATGTTCTATTATGAATCACATTTTTATGAAAAGAGCCTCCAATTGGCAGATTTTCATCTTCTCGTGGCCGTACGCCCAACACTTTGAAATTTTGTAAAATCAAATAACTTTTGGATTTAATTTTGGATTTGTGTAAGAGCTTTAGAGCTTAAAGATGAGATTCAAGAGTGTCTATATTCCAAATATCCAGACTGAATTCCAATTTTCTTGGATAACGCCATTGAGTAATAATTAGGCAGAGAGGTCTTTTGGATCAAAAGCTATTTTTCAAAATAGTTTATGGAAGATACAGAGGTTGCGAACACAAATCGCAAATACAATACCCGGCTGTCTGTAGCTCCTTCTACTGTTGCCCATTTGCCCATTTAAAGAAATCTTCATAACATAAAGCACAATAAATTCAGTTCTATCCTTATGAACTATTTTAGCTCATTGTTGTTGTTTCTAAACCTATAATTCCTTATTTTCCTTCAGCCTTCAGCTTACTTTCTCAAAATAACCAAAGACCACTAAGAGAAAAATAATACTTTATATGCCGTCACATCCTAAGGCTTATTATGTGCGTATAGAAAATTATTAAATTTTTCATTAACTGAATAACTATAAAAGAACCCATAAAGATTTTATTTAAATGTAAATAAGCAAGTAAGAGGTACGAGTCGGGAGCTTCCGACCAGGGTATACCCTGAACCCTCTTCTTCCAACATCAAATGCATATATATATTCTATTTTAGGAGCTATATGTCAAGTTTGGTGATTCTAGCTCTTATTATTTACAAAAATTGCCCAAACAACAGGAATTCGATATCAATTTTTATCGATTCCTTGGAAACAGAGTGAGTTATCGATTATCGGAAACAAACTCGCGCGGGCCCTAGGAGCACCCTCCTAGGTTATGAGATCCTTGCGTTCATACATACGGACAGACGGACAGACAGACGGACATGGCTAGATCGACTCGGCTACTGATGCTGATCAAGAATATATATACTTTATGGGGTCGGAAATGCTTCCTTCTGCCTTTCTGAATTTATGGACATTTTCCCTGTACGAATTAGCCAATCGGCCATTAATCCAGAAATAAGCGAGCTGACCTACATCGCGATAAAGGGGAAAGTGGACACGATGCCGGTTGTGCGAATGGAAAACTGAAGAACATCGGCCATATATTTGGGTAGGTAGGAAATCAAAGCGTAGTAGCCACAGTCGTGCCCTATCTGGCTGATGATCGCTGCGAATAAAGCCTTGCTAAGCAGTATTTGCCTTGTCTCTAGCTCTTATAGGTTCTGAGATCCTTGCGTTCATACATACGGACAGACGGACAGACGGACAGACAGACAGACGGACATGGCTAAATCGACTCGGGTGTTGATGCTGATCAAGAATATATGTACTTTATGGGGTCGCAGATGCTTCCTTCTGTCTGTTACATACATTTGGGCTTTGCACAAATACAATATACCCTTATACCCATTTTTAATGGGTTCAGGGTATAAAAAGGTAGGAATATATACTAGGCAAGACACCAGAAATAAAATTCTTTAAAATGTGACGTTAAAATTTGTTGTTGGTGCGCTGTAACCCTTTTATTATTTTTTGGGAATTTGATTCTTGTAGGAATGACAGAGAAACCAGCAACGAACATAGTAGTAATTTTTTTCACCGATTAAAACAGACGAAAACACGTTTTGCAAGTGATTTGTTGTTGCTTCCTATGATTAATTTTTTTTTAACAATATTATTATTTTCATTCAAAATCTGCCCTCTTTTTGGCAACGATACATGAGCTTAATATTTGGGTTTCATTTTGCGTTCGTAGACCAACCTAATGGAACTTGCTTAATTTTCAAAGTGGCAATAAAAGCCCAGCGTGATTTTTCCTTTCTTTCTATTTATTACTCAATGTATATTTATATTTTATTCTTTAGTACCCTAGCTCAATGCCTGACCCATTGTCCTAGGGCCAGCGCAAAGTAACGAGTTTTTGACACGTTAAACGTAGTTAGTCAGGACGGCAACCGGTGAGCTTTTGTCGAAAGCTCAGCAAAAGCAACGAGCTTCCAATGCATAAAGTTATGAGAGCTTTAGAAGGGATGAAAAGCGCTCAGGGAAGTCATAAATTAGCCCTTGAGCCTTTAATGAACTGTCTTAGATATATGCGAAGAATTTTGGCCTAAGCGGTTCGTGTCTAGTATTGGTGAGGGAGGGGGGGGGGGGGGGGGGTGTTGGTAGGGCATAATGTATTGTTTATTGAAAATTGACACAAATTGAAATGAACGACGCCAGAGGGGCGTGCGGGGTGTGTTTGGCGTTGAGAACAGAGTCGACTTGTTGATGAGGCACATTTGCTTCTGTTTATAGCAAATGTTTATAATATATATATATATATATTGTAATATACGTATCGGATTATTTGTTTGTTTTGCCTGGAAGTTAGATGACTAAGTCGTAGCAACTGCTTTTTCGAGGGGGGGAAACGGTCACAATGGAATCAAGAGAAATGCTTTGAATTCAGTTGCAAGTCAATAAGCAGCGACAGCTGACTGCGCGATCAGGCTATAAAGAAAAAACTTCGCTCTTCCTGTCCTAAACAAACTGGCCAACCTATGGTATTGCCTTGAACCCGCCGCCTATGTGGAGGTAACCAGCAGCTACAAGCCACTGCAGCAACTGCTAACGATGGACAAGGAACAGCAGTTGGCTGGTCAGGAGATCTCTAAGATCATCAGGCAGGCGGCCCTCGAACATGAGTCCAAGAAGCAGCAATGGTTTCTGGAAGCTCAGCATAAAATAGATCAGTTTAGCAAAGTCAAAAAAGACACTTTTGATGGTGTGCCTAAATGAAGCCGAGGCTAAAATACACAATTCTTTTTGATAGCTATTTAAAATTTAAAATATATATAAAAAATATATAGAAATGAAATTGTTGCTAGTTCAGTTCACAGTTCGAGCCGCTTCCTCGCCTTCTGTGCCTAGTTCGAACCTTTGCTTGTCCCAGCTGTTCCCTATGTTCCCTAAAATGGGAAATTGATTATTATAATATACAGTTTATCTATATTTTGCGCTAAGCTTAGCTTAATTTTAAAATAATATCGTCTAGAAATGAAACTTATACAAATTCTGTAATTTTTAGAATTAACTTTAAAAAATAAGAAAATTTTTTAGTCTCGAAATTGGATTATTTTATTTCTTCCTTTTTATAGATAATTCGGGTTATGTTTAGGTTTGTCTTTTTCATGGCATTTGGTTTGGTTCAGGACTCATTTAGTGGAGTAGAAAATATATTTTCCGGGCTCAAGCTGGTTGATTAAAACAGAGCATGCTTTGATTTATATGTGGCATTATCCATTAGTCCTTTAGTCTTGCATTTGTTAAACTTTTTACAATGTTTTACTGTGACGTTGACCTGTCGGAACCACCAGCTGCCAATGTGGTGATAGATGACACAAAAAGGCAACCCCCAAAAGAGCAAAGTGATCAAGAAATCGCTGGACTAGAGATTGATCGTATTATAAAAGAGGCTTATGAGGAGCACGAGGTTTTTATCTATGAGCGCGGCATAGCAGAGCTTGCTAGACGGGAAATCATAATAGCCCGAACATATCCACCATATTCCAACAATATAAATACCTTGCAGGCTGAATACAACGAGGAAGTTAAATATTTAAAGCAACTGCTGCCCGAGGAGGACCTAGACTGGCTGGAAGATTTCTCTTTCTGACTGGACAAAGTTTAAAAAGGTAAAAAGGCAGACACAAGAACAAGGCTATTTCATGAATTACTGATGAAATTCAAGTCAATCCAAGATTGACATATTAAAGCTCAAGAGCATAGTATGTCAAAAATTTGAAATCAAGCCCTCAAAATCGAATTGGACACAAAACAATAAATACTTAAACAATATAAGAGAATATCTATTTTCACGGTATCGAAGACTAAATACCCTTGCAGAGATTTGGTTAGCTAATTTTTTAGAGGGAAAACTTACACCTCTATGGGAGCTCTTAATTGATCAACTTTGTAAGACAAAATATTTTCGTTGGATTGATCCTTGAAGACTGCAATATGATCTAAAGATCCGTCTTCGACAGGTGTACTGCCTGCGACAAAGAACATGGATTTTACCTTCGTTTTCAGTCATGGCTGTTACGTTGTTCTATATGCAGCCTACGTTGTAATTGTCATAATTTATGCAGCGATTTGTTCCTTTTTGAAACTTTAATTAAGTTGAACTTATCTTTGCGTTACACATGAGACCAAAACCATTTTCTTCCTCTCTTGCGCTCTCTCGAAAGTATTCTCAAATATGCAAATGAATGTGATGCTGGACACTTCAAATGCGGCTTTACGCCCACACTTACACGCACAAGCACACACACACGTGCACACACACGTACGCACCTTTGGGAACATGCATTTCGGTCATGTTTACAATGTCAGCTAGGATAACATGCAGACACACACACATACACATATATTGCGCTCATTGCAGTTGAAGCTTTAGGAGAGAGACGGCCTTAGCAATGCCAGCAAATTAGGGCAGAGCACAAACAGCTGTTCATCGGACAAAGAGAGAAAGAGAGAGAGAGTACGGGTGTGTGAGAGACCGCGCACGCATGCAACGCCCACACACACACACACACACACACACACAGCCGACTGAGAGAGCCTGCATGAGCTTTTAACGAGGCGCTCAACGCTCGTTAGGTACCAGGTACAGTGACGACTGTGCGTGGGTGTGAATATGTATGTGTGGGTGTGTGTTATATGTAAACAAAGCGCGCGCTCAACTGCTACTGCATTGCAAAACGACTGCTCTGCGACCGAGAGACCCACTTCGTGTAACGGCTTTCAATTTCGTTCAACCTGTGCCGACGACAACTGCGACCTCGGCTTCGCTTTCAATTTCGTGTTCGTAACTCTTTGCTGGCCGTTGGACGGCTCAGTCGTGTTTTTGTTGTAGCACCTCGCGCGTGTCTCGCTGTTGTCGTCGTTGTCGCCGCGGCGTCAGGACCAGCAGCAGCAGGACTAAGCACAAGAAGTGTTGTTCCGAGGCTGGTTCCGTTTGCTCGCCTGCCGCGTCGCGTTGCCCAACAACAAAATACTTAAAAAATATTTAAATCGCAACAATAAATTTCTACGTTTTTCTACTCGTACGCAATGATAAAAAAAAATTAAACGAAATACAAGTTGTTCAATTCAGTGCAATTCCAAGTGCAATTCGCCAATCCGCAATTCAGTTTTAATGCCTTAGAATATAGTTTTGTGTATCAAATAAATAAAAAATATAAAAACAACAACATCGCCTTACAACAACAAATCTAGTTATTAATTCGTGTGGCTGCCTATGCGAGTCCAGTGAATAATAATGCTTCAATTACAGTGCAAATGTATGGCAAGCAGATTAATATATTTTATTTTAAAATCAAAAACAACAGCGACTGCCTGCAATTTTGTCAGACAACGACGTTAAATATTATTTTGTCCTCCGGGTCAATGACAACTGTAAACAACAATCAAAGACATTTAATCAATAAAAATACAATTATATATATTATTAATATATATAGTTATTAAGAAATATGCAAAAATGATTTTTATGTGTCCATTTTAAATCAATTACAAAAAGTCCACAAATGTATAAAGTTTTTTTTATCCATTTATGCATTTTATGAAAACAATAATTTGCGATATTTATAAATCAAATTTAGATATGAAAAAATATTTATCACACATAAATAACCAATATAAAAATAAAAGAAAACATAAATATGAAAGAATTTATCACATATATATTTTATATAAATAATTAAGTTATAACAGATTCAAATGAGAATTCCAATTGCAAGCACTTCATTGGTTGATTAAAATAAAAATTACTTAAATAACAATATTAAATTAAATCGAATCTTATAACAATAAGACAATTAAAAAGTCTTCAGTTAAAAAATAAAAAAATTCCTCGATAAGATATTAAGGCTTCTAACTAAAAATATAAATGTATAAATATTTATAAACGCTAAAGACGTATAAATAATAATAAAATAATTCGTAGAATGCATTTAATACTTATTTATTAACTAATATAATCATCAATACATTATGTATATAACGATATAAGAATGATATAGTTGTATAAACTGGAGACCTGAATTTGGCAAACTAGGGTGACGTAAAGAAGCTAAAGGCATTTCAATGTTTTTAACCAAAAACCAAACTAGAAAGAATTTTATTTTAGTTTATTTTAGAAGTATCTTTCAAACCAAAGTTCGAAAAGTATAGGGTCTTAAATGCGCTTTTGGGGCGTAGATATCTAGAAGTAAGTAGTTGATAAACCAATATTCCAAACAAATTTGAAAATAAATTAAATAAACATTGCAAATACAAGTATGATATCATAAAATCTATCTAATAACGTTATTTATTTTGTTAATTTAAATAAAAGCTTTATTGTCATAAAAAATGTAAACATAAATTAATATTAAATAAATTATGAAGACGATATTAAAAAATATTAAAATATAGCAGCTTTAATGCAAAATAACAAATAAATAAATACATCTAATAAGCAACTGGATTTGAAAACGTGCAAAACAAAAGCAAACAACCAAAAAGAAATATATCTATATATGTATATTAGAAAGGACATGTTTTATATAAATGCGATGGCGGCTAACGCTGCCGCATGTCAACAGAAAAAAACAAAAACAATAACCACAACACCCAGCAACCAAGAAAGAACAACAAAAACAAGAGTTCACAACAAGACAGCGTGAAAAATGATAATGACAGCCGCAACTGTGGCAGCCACAGGCCAATGCGAAAAGTGATTATATATATTATACATATATAGTAGTTAAAGTGTATGGATCTATATGCGAGATGTCAGTTGGGCTTACAACAAGTTAATTACCCACACAAAAGAGCGTGAATAAAATTCTTGCATCGATTTCAGTTTTTTTCTCTGCATTAATTGCAAATTATAACTAGCTCAACCCGCACATTGCGTATACGTAATATGATATGCCACCCCCCATTTACAAGCAATTACGCTAATTTCAGTCACTTAATTATAAGGTGCGGAGGGAGTGGGGGGAGTAGTTGAAAAAATAAAGAAATTGGAAAACAACAAATGCAAATGGTAAATTTTGGTTTGCCATAAGTTTTCTCCATATTTTCACGCGAAGGTTGTGTTGCAGAATTTGTTGAGACAACTTTGTTTAGGCTCTTGTTGTTTGTGTCAGCACATGTTTTTCGACCCCTGCTACCCACGATTCTGTTTTTAAGTGTTGAGTAGAGCATAGGTCGAGTGGCAGGTATGTGTAAGGTGTGTGTGACACCAACTTGACTTACCTTTGGCCTTTTTGGCAGCGTGGCAACCTTTAAGCACGTGTAGCTGCATTTTCAAACACTGCGAAAATGATATAATGCCATTGAAATATAATTTGAGTAAGTGAGATATTGCATAAGTCCTTGAAAATTAATATGAAGAATGCCCCAAATATATGTTTTGGAGGTATGGAGGTAATATTTAAAGTTTGAAATTTACCGATTTTTTTGTTTAACCAGTGCTCCAAAAATATGAATTATGAAACGGACAGTTGACTGAGTCAGTCTTATCGATAGGTATTATAATCGATGAACAAAATACATTCAATTCCTTATTTACCCATGGATAGATCATTTGTGCAAGATTGGGTATTACAAAAAATATTTTAAAATATGTTTTCATTAACTCGTTCAATTTAACCCTTTCATTTGAAATTGTTTTTTTTTTTTTTTTTTTTTTTAAGAGAACATGTAATTATTAAAACAATTTCAGCTGTATTAAAAACTGAATTAAAATACCCTTGAGCATTGGTAGCCTCTTCAGTGGATTTCAGCGAATAATTTAGTATGTGTTCACTGTTTCGCGTTTTTCTTCATTCTGCATTTTACGGTACGGCGCTTTAAGTTAAAATCGGAAAAAATTAATCATACTTTTGCAGTGTATTTAATTAGATAAATGTAAGCAAACATATACTTACTTAAAATCTATCTGCATGCCAATTGTCCCTGACGCATTTTTTTGCAGTATCAACGTTTTTTAGGCAGGAACCCTTGGTCAGTCGTCCTTTGCGACTTAATTTGTTGGCAGATGTTTTGATTCTCTGCTCATTTCATGCTTGCGAATCATATTTCAAAATGCAGTTTTAGCCACATGGCCGAGCAGCCAAAATAGTGCAAAGTAGCCAACAATAATAATCAAATCAAACTCATGCGATATATCTAGCTGGACAGGACTCGATTGTGGGGCTGGCATTTGCATGGGGCCATCAGATCGACGCGCCGGCTGCGACAACGAACGAGGTCATAATTCAAATTATGCGCCTACTAACAACTTAATGTTATTAGTTATATCTTTGTCGGTAGGCACACCTACAACCCGGTGCGATGCAAGCAAACATTAAAAAACTGGCAGGGATTTTTGTATGTGTGCGTGTGTGTGCGTAAAATACTTGTCGCTCTCTCTTAAGTTTATGCTTATGTTGTTGATTACAACTGCGGGCAGTTGACTTATACTCGAACTCAGAGTATAACGAATTTGTCATGAATCGTAGAAGGTCTATTTTGCTACATTTTTCAGTTCTTAAAGGTTACTTATTAAGACATTTTAAAAAAATTTTTATTGAGTAAATCTGTAGAATAGAAATATATCAAATATAGGTTTTTTTTACAAAAATCATCAGAGTAAATACAGTCGGGTATGTTTGTGCGGTGCATACACTTTTTGTCATCAGATTAGAGCCCCCTTTACATTTTAGTAAATGCGATATTGTCAAAACCATTTGAACTATCAACTCAAAATTATCAACTCAATTTTATGCATTTGAATCTTATCAATTGTTCATAAAATAAGAAAACAATGGCTCTGCTAACATTAGTGATAATATTTTAATTAATTTTTAAGTAAAACTATACAAAACAAGTATGATTCTCTAGTCGAACCCCGAACCCTCTTACTACAACCCCAAATAAATTAAAAAATAAGTTTCCCTTGGTAGGGTTCGAACTCGCAACTGACCGCATTACTTGTTGTCGACTCTACTCAAGAGCCATGCCAATTATTAAGTACTTTCGATAAAAAAGGAACTAAAATAGCATTACAGAAAAATGTCAATGTGTGTGTGTCTGTACATGTATACAGAAATTCTTAAAGTTTCGCTAGCTGCCCATCCAATTGTGCAGTTATATATAACTTTAGTTTTTTTTTTAACCGATCTTAATGAAATTTTCTACAGTATATCTTATTGTAGCATAGTATTTTTGGGTATTTTCAAAAAGTCAATAATTGTATCTAAATTGTGACTTAAACTGGTTGACAATATAAGTTGGGTTATTAACTTGATTTATAGCTCTGGGGTGTTAAAGGGGAGGTGGCGATAGGTATAAAATAAAAGGAATTTAATATATATGTAATATTATAGAAGCAAAATATCATGTTTGGTGATTCTAGCTCTTAATACTTACCAAAATTGCTCAAAAAACAGGATGTCGATATCGATTTTTACCGATTGCTTGGAAACGGAGTAAGTTATCGACTATCGGAAACAAGCCCGATCTGCGCAGGCACTAGGAGGACCTAGATCTTTCAAAACTCTAGCTCTTATATAAATATATATATATACATACATACGGACGGACGGACAGACGGACAGACATGGCTAGATCGACTTGACTATTGATGCCGATCAAGAATATATATACTTTATGGGGTCGGAGGTGCTTCCTTCTGCCTGTTACATACATTTGGATTTTGCACAAATACAATATACCCTTTTACCCATTTTTAATGGGTTCAGGATATAAAAAATGCAACGAAAATTTGGTCATCAGGATTGCGCCCCCTCCGATATGGTGACCACTCAAGGACTTCAATGTTTTGGCTCTGAATCCAAGTGTTAACTGAAATGGGCAGTATGAATTGGGGTATTATCGTGCTGGAAATGCCATTTAAGATCCCGAAATACATTTTGGATGTAGGGAAAAGCAAGACTATAGCGTAATGGCACGGATCAGTGTGCTGTAAGACAGTGTGGACATTATAGATAATTGATTTCCCCACTGCTGTTGTCACGCATGCATATGTATTACGTAGATCAGTGAAAGTCGTATAAGCGCGAGAGTTAAACATCCCGTGTCGGCTTAACGTACCCGTGATCCCACTGATTGGTCTTAGTCTGTGCGCGCCTTCCTTGTAGATCGCTCGTATGCCCCGCACACGTATCAGCACAAATGATTTTTTTTTATAAGCCATCAGATAGCAATGCATTTGTTACCGAGCATTATTTAAATATAAAATGCTGTACGCTATTATCGTGCCAAAACAAAGATTATATTCAAGCTTATT